TGGCACTACAGCCCCAGTGGGCCTAGGCCTACCTCCATGAACTTCTCCGTTCACTTCGGTTTTTCTAGATCTTACACATTCGGTAGGACTCCTTGGGCGGGTGATCAGCTCGTCGCAAGGCCTCTACCTGTACACAAACACAGAAAAACTCACACAAACATCCATGCCCTGAGTGGGATTCGAACCCACGATCCCGATTTCCAAGCGAGCGAAGATAGTGCATGCCTTAGACCGCTCGGCTACCGTGACCGGCAAATACATATATTAGGGTCACAAAAAGAACATTTATATATATTTCATATTTTAACGTGCTTCTAGTTTTAAGTTTTTTATGCGATTAAAGTACTTTCTCTCATTTAGGCTCTATGATGGAAGAAAAATATCTATAGAGATACATTGCACGTGCTTTATTATACACAACTGACCTCGAGTAGTTTACAATGGAAACTAAGTAAATTGTCATGTAGATCATTTTTGGCTACTGGAGGCCGAACAAAAACGAATTCCGTCCTGCAATCTCGTTCATTGTCCCTACAAGGGTCTCATTCGGCACCAATAAAGTCGTGCTCATGTAAATCGGGATTTGTCCACGTAAATATAAATTTATCTTTATTTTTTACATTCATATATATCGAAAGAAAGTGTCGGGGAAGCAATTGCCACGTCTCCACAACGGCTCTTAACAAATAAACACACATCTTGACTTATTGATCTGAGTCATTATTACTTTGGTAAGGAATATGACGTGTAGGGCTGACTGTTCGGTTTTGTTGTTATGACAGAGGACGTAATGCCGTAGGTACTGACCAGGTAGTTGAACGGCGGAACTACTGGTCAGCAGTAGAACATTCTCTTTTATGAAATGAGTTGAATACTACATTGCACTGAATTTGTTGGATTTTTGTTTCTGTTTTTATTTTGTAAATCATGAAATACTGTATAAGATTCCTGGAGTGAATGACGCTATGCAATGCCTTAATCACATGACTCTGGAACTTACGAACTGTTTTTATGCAGTCAGTGCCATCTGGATTCGGATGGTATTTGTTCGGGCATGCGCACAAACTTCGGTCGCAGTAGGCAGGCTGTCCAGAAGCAAGATAACAATTGTTGCTTACTTTGCATTTCTCTCCAATTACTGTAACAATTAATCAATATGGTTTTATAACATGTGGCTCATTTTCAAGTAAACACAAAGTTTGGAATGTGTAGTTCATGTTAAAGGTGTCGCTATACTGACTGAGGTGTACCATTTCATGTAATGAACACAGTACAAGACGCTTTTACATTTTTGTACTAACTATGGAGCAATCTGTTTATGACTAAGTCGGATACGTATGACTAATTGCGAAATTTTAAATGATGAACTTGTTTAAGTGACAGTAACCTTAACCCTCCAACAAAACATTTTCTAAATTATGGTTGACAAAAATTATAACATAAGGAAAGGGCACAGGCCCGGAAAAAGAAAAGGGCATAGACCCCGAAAAAGAAAAGGGCTCTTTTGGTTCATAATTCGGCACACAGAACTAAGATGTAATGGAAAATCTTTTTTGCCCAGATATGGAATTATAATATCGGGATTGATTTAAATGTTAGTTTCATTTTATTTTACTTGGTCTCTGACATTAAGGGAGGAACATAGACTGAGTGTGTTTAAGAACAGGGTGTTGAGGAGAATATTTGGACCGAAGAGGGATGAAGTAACAGGAGGTTGGAGAAAACTGCATAATGAGGAGCTTCATAACTTGTACTCTTCTCAAAGTATAATTAGAATGATCAAGTCAAGGAGGATGAAGTGGGCAGGGCAAGTAGAACGAATGGGGGGAAGAGGAATGCACATAATATTGGTGGGAAAGCCAGAAGGAAAGAAACCACTGGGAAGACCAAGGCGTAGATGGGTGGGCAACATCAAAATGGATCTTAGAGAGATAGAATGGGATGGTATGGATTGAATTTGTCTGGCTCAGGATAGGGACCAGTGGAGGGCTCTTGTAAACACGACAATGAACCATCGGGTTACAGAAAATGCTGAGAAATTCTCGAGTAGTTGCAGATTTGGCGGCTCTCAAAGAAGGGCTCAGCTTCATACGTAAGTAACTAAGCAAGTATTTTATTTTACCGTAATATTTTTGGGCAATGTCATTTCAAAATATTTCTGTTCTTGGTATGGAAGAACAACAGAAACCGCAACAACTGTATGTAAATTTCACTGTGAAAGTATGAGAATTATCAATCGTTGAAAATGTCTCTTTAAAATGTGGTTATTTCTCCGCCTGCTTTTCCTAACTCCGAAGATCATGATACTGTATAAACTAATAATTATTTGAGCTCTTTTGAATGTGTTTGAAAGTTTATCGCTACATATTGTCACGTGTATGGGATGCGTGACTTATTAGACGGGGTTTTGAACGATGTCCGAATTTATTGACACCTTATGCACACCACTCAGAACTACAATTAATTACAGCGCTGTCGCTGATCGACACACTTTACAGCTCACCGTAACACACGGACTAGGTTCCCCAGTCTTCACTAGTCGTATCCTGGCAACGGATTTTTACGAGTTTCACTGTCACTGCAACATACGTCTTCTTTTTACAGACCTAATTCTTTTGTTTCCATATCTTCTGAATCATCTTCGACTGCCGACTCCAGAGACTCCCTCACTTCTAATCCTTGCTGCCCGAGATCCTCGTTATGTAGCCTCGGGTCGGCCCCAACACTAAATTCCGTTTTTTAATAATCCCTTTAACTTTATAAACATGAGTTTTCCTGGTCGTTGCATAGAAAATGCAGTTCTTCGAGTGTTGCTTGCGTATTCATTGCAGCGCGAATGTTTTTACCGATCCATTACCTAGCAATGGACGTCTGATCTAGTTCCACTCTTCTGGCTTTCACACGTCATGTCACAATATAATTAGGTTACTAATTTATATCTTTTGCTGTCTTTATGACGTCGACTTTTGAAGGAAGCAGGCCTTATAAATTTCTCCCAGAAATTCTTGGTACTGATTCGTTACTTACATGATGTCTCGTAGCAACTGCCATCTTTGAAGTGTGCACCAGCCTTGCAGTTGCACGTCCCGAGAAGCCCTTCTCTGGTGACGCATTCAGCATAGTTC